TATTTTGCTTTTAAAATTGTATTCAGTTATAAAATTGATTTAAGAAACACAAAAATTGACTTCTTCTAGTTATTGTTACTTACATTGCCTTTGTGGCCACCACCACCATTAGAACCACCTACTTCTAATTACTGCTTCTATCCAATAGTGTAATTATGAAATAAAGCACAGGGCAAAGGCCAAAGGGATTTAACAAGAATCTAATAAAAGGAAACGGTTCTCTAGATGGAGAAATGTACTACAACATAGTGAAAATTCACATCGTGAATCTTCCTAAGAGAAAAGTCTTGAAAATATCAGATGGCTTGTGCTGGCATATCAAGTAAGTAATTAAGTAAGTAATTTTCAAGACTTTTTTAGTGTAAAAGTAAAATGAGTACTCCCTTTTCCTAAAATAAGGTGATGCATCCCAACTATTCTCTCAACTAAATGTTTAACCTCTGCAAATGTGAGAGGTTAGCCCTGCTTGAGGACACAGATGTCCAGGCCTGCCTCACATTTCACTCTGATGCTCCTTCCTATCAGCACTAACTCTCTAATAACTAACCATCATAAAATGAAAACTGTGCTTCTTGGCTGGGTGGGTACTAAAGTGAGAACAAAGGAAACAGATCTAAAAGGTGATGAATACAAATTTTCAATACATGAAAGAACAGTATATATATATATAAAAAAAAAAAATATATATATATATATATATATATATATACATACATACATACATATACACACACACACACACACATAAATGTGCATATTTTTTCCCTCCTAATCAATTCGCTACATCACCAGGGCTGTGAATGGCTGCATGGGATGGCAGAGGGGACAGTGGGATGAGGTAAGGCTGGCTGGCAGGCACTAAGGTCACAGTTAGACAGGGGGAATGGTTTTGGTGCTCTACTACACAGGAGAATGATTATTATGTAATATTTAGTCATCTATAATATATAGATAATATATTTTTTTTCAAAAAAGGCTAGAAAGAAGAATTTTGAATGTTTATACTACAAAGAAATGACAAATGTCTAAAGAAATAGGTATGTTTACCATGACTAGAACATTATACAATGTATTCACATTTATGTACATATGGTACCCCAAAAGTATGTACAATTTTTAATATTGTCAATTAAAAAAGACAATGGGACAATGTGTCATGTCAAATATTAATTTTTGCTATAAAAATTTGAGTTTTTATAGTTTGGTTTTTTATGTAATTTGGCCATAAAAAACTCATTTAATTTAAAATTGGCTATGATATGCCTTCTTGGGAATTGTTATGTACACTTAGAAATTCTTGTGAAGAAGAAAAGCACACAAACAAATCATTTGGGAACATAAGGACATTTTCTTCAGTTTGTGAGTAAATTTTTTAAATGATAAATTATGCTTTATAATATTTAATAATATTAAACCAAGATTCTTTAACACACTGCTCTCCTAACAAGCTCTTGCTGAAACATCCCAGTGAGGAGTGCCCTAGGCTTGCTCTCTGCAGAGAATTTCTGTCATCTACCTCCTGCTTTTAAGCACTGAAACTTGGTTTCATAAGTCAATGGTTCTCAGAGTATGATCCCTGGGACCCTTTCAGGGAGTCCATAGGTCAAAACTATCTTCATAATAATTTTAAGGTATCATTTGCTTATTTTTCTTTGTTCCATTTTGTTTTGCCATATTGGACATTAATACCAATGGCACAAAAGCAGTTTTGTGAGAAAAACTGCTGGAGCCTCAGCATAAACCAAACTGTACTAGTATAAGTCACTGTATTCCCACCATGCACTCACTGGTAAAACAGATGCCAAATTCACTTAAGAATGTCCTTAATGTACTAGTACAACTTATTAAGTTTATTAAATCTCAACCATAAGCATAAAGAAAATATCCTTTAATATTCTGTGATAAAATAGGAAGTGTGTATAAAACATTTCTGCTGCATATCAAAGAAAGATGGCTATCAGGAGAAAAGCTTGAAAACTGACACTTGGGTATCTGGCAGACATTTTCTTGAAAATGAATAAAGTGAGCCTGTTAACTTCAGAGACAACTAACAATATTTGTTGCTAATGAGATTTTTAAAGAAAAAATTAAATTTTGAAGAATTTGTGTTCACACTTATAAATCTGAGAATTTATGACTTTTTGATGAGATCAGTGGTGACATTAATTATTTGTAGGCTTGTAACATCTTTTCAGTTTTCCCATTGTTCTTCATTTTATTATGTCCCATTAAAATGGTGAGCTCTGTGAAGGGAGAACTATTTAATAATAGTGTCCTTAAGACCTAGAACTCAATTATACAAAGAACAGTCATTGGATACATATTCACTGACTACCTTACTATTCTGACTGATGGTATTAAAATGTGTTATGTGTATTTTTGTATGCCTCTGTTATGTATGCATATGTATACTGAGTTCACAAGTATTCTATGCTCCTGGTGACTCTACATCTCTCAAAGCTCTTTATCCCATTTTTCCCCATATAACTTTCTTACAATTTGCCTTAAATTAGCTTTTCTTAGTAAATGAAAAATCATGTATTTGCTGCAACACTGATCCAAATAATCAAAATAAATAATCCATTTTTTAAAAAAAAATTTTTTTACTCATACATGGACACAATATCTTTGTTTATTTTTATGTGGTGGTGGGGATCAAACCCAGGGCCCCACATGTGCAAGGCAAGCACTCTGCCATTAAGCCACAACCACAGCCCAAAAAGTAACCCATTTTTTAAATACATATTTAATAACTATGACTCTAAAGGAGGGGTTGGCAAACTACTGGCTGTTTTTGTAAATAAAGTTTTGTTGGACTACAGCCATTTCCACTCATTTACACAGTATGCATGGTGGCTCTGGCACTACAACAGCAGAATTGCAGAAGTTTATGAGACTACATGGCTCACAACTCTTTGAAAATATTTGCTATGCAATTCTTTATAGAGTAACTGCAGATGCCTGCTTGAGAATACAAACTTTTTGGAAAAATTGTGCTCATTTTTATTTTTAAATTATACAAAGTAGAGCTGTAGCTGTAGCTCAATGGTAGAGTGCCTGCCTCTCATGTGTGAGGCACTGGGTTCGATCCTCAGCACCACATAAAAATAAATAAATAAAGATATTGTATCCATCTACAACTAAAAAGAAAAATATTTTTAAAAATTATACAAAGTATATTGTGCTTTGTATCAAAATATACTTCTTATTTGAAATCAAATAAAACAAATACAAAACTGTTGCTAAAACACCTACACATTTTCAATGTAAATTCTGAAAAGAAACTAATACAATTCCCAAGGAGTATGTGCCCTAGTTCTTCTTTCTTATGGCTTAAGATCTTATTATCACTTTTATCCAGGCCTACCTACCAAAGCCAAATATCCATTACCACCAAATCAGGCTAGGCAGAATTAAAACTTTTAACGGCCTCACATCAAACAAATGGTGACTTCTGCTGCTAGCCATGAGCATGGGACTAGTCCACTGCCATAAACAACTGCTTGCAGACAGTGGGACAACAGCAAAATGATACTGTAATTACTGAAAATGGGAAAACAACTGAGACCTGGAGAGTTTATTTGAATGAACAGTTCATAGTCCTGCTTTTAAAGCCAGTAAAAACCGTATTCATTTTTATTTTAAAAAAATTCATAGTCTTTAACATACATACTCACAATGTCCTTGGGATGAGGCAGCTATAGACAGAATTAGCTGGCAAAAATGCTAAAACAGTATTATAAACAGACTTCATGTATTCAAGAATGCAGAAGAAAACATAAGCATGACAGAAAGAGAAAGGGAAAAGAGTTTCCATTTAATTCTTTATTATGTCTTCAACAACTGAAAGAAATTAAAAATCCACTGATAGAATTAACAGATTAGACACTGCAGAAGAGGAATGAACCTGAAGATAGTAATAGAAACTAATCAAATTGAGGGACCAGGATGTAGCCCAGTGGTATAGTTTTTGCCTGGCATGCAAAAGGCCCTGGATTCAATCCCCAGCACCAGACCACAAAAAGAAAACAAACTATTCAAATTGAAACCACAGAGGAAAAGGATTGAAAAAAATAAACAAACTAAGCCCCAGTGATTTATAAGACAATATCAAATAGCCTAACACATACATTACTGGAATCCTAGAAATAATGGGAGAGACAGGGAAAATCCTTGAAGAAACAGTAGTAGAAAGGTTCCCAAAATTTGGTGTAAATGATTAAGTCCACAGATCCACAAAACTCAAAGAACATCAGACAAGATAAACAAAGACAATCACACCAAGCCACATCACCAATTGCTCAAAACCAGTGAATGTCATTAAGAACAAAACAAAAAGATTATGTTGCTCCCCTCCATATGTCATATAAAATAGACAACTCTAATCCAAAGAAAGTAGGCAATGTATTTCTAGATTTTCTAATTGAAAAAAAAAAAAAAAAATGAGGGTAAAGTTCATCAAAGTTGAACTTCTCTCATTTTGTAGAGAGCTTCCTTCGCTGGTATCCCTAGCATTACCTTAGTCCATCTGTTGGATAATCAAGAATGGACAATCTGGAAAAGAACAGTAACACAACCCATTTACAGACCTTAGAGTTCATGAATGTCACAATCTTTGGGAACTGCATGTCCCCTGAGATCAGAAGCTTTCATGTCTTTGACCATCTATTTCTAGTGTAGTCTCTAATGAAGCACAACCACGTGAATACAAAGGAATGAATCAGTCTAGTTCACCCTCAGTACACTGGCATGTGATGTACAGAACAAGGTATAAAAACAGATGTACAGAGGGACTAAATGACTGTCCCAAGAATATTCAAAAGACATCCTTAGAGTAATGCTACCACACAATGTTATCTCAAAGTAGAAATAAAAAAACAAGCTTTAGGGGTTAGGGATTTAGCTCATTTGCAGAGCACTTGCTTAGCACATACAAGGCACTGGGACCAATTCTCAGCACCCGAAAAAAAAAAAAGAAATGAGCTTTAAGTTTTACTTACTCTGAGTTTCCACAAGATCCAAAGCCACACTAGACACTGTGTCCATTCCGGAGCTGATACAGGATTGGAAGGTTTTTAAGGAAGAGAGAGCAGACTCTACACCACTGAAGGATATGAAACCAGTTGAACCTGAACTTGAACTGGAACGCCCTGGCATCTTGGAATTATTACCTAAATTTTAAACACAGTAACAAGAGTTGTATGTTAGAAAAATAACCATATATGAAAATAGGAAAGTTGTAAATAATCATATGACTATATCCAATATCCAGGTGCCATACTATTATCTACATTCAGTGTCCCCTGAAAGGACACGAGAGCATCGTGCCATCATCTGGGCCACCAAACACCGATGCACACAATACAGGATGAAGGTTAACTGTCTTCATTTTTTAAAGCAGGTAGAATACCCTCTTCCAAAAGATTTTTTGATTCTCTGAAGAATTCAGTAACAGCCTAAAACATAAAACAAGTTATCCATGATGCATTTTTCTAAAACAAAAAAACAATAATAATAAAAGCCTAATAAGGCAGGATTTTGAAAATCTATAATTTTGGGGGGTGGGGAGATACCAGGGATTGAACTCAGGGGCATTCAACCACTCTACCACATCCCCAGCCCTATTTTATATTTTATTTAGAGACAGGGTCTCACTGAGTTGCCTTGTCATTGCTGAGGCTGGCTTTTAACTCACTATCCTCCTGCCTTAGCCTCCAGAGCAGCTGGGATTATAGGCATTCGCCACCACACCTGGCAAAAATCTGTAATTTTTTTATTTTTTATTTTTTATTGTTGGCTGTTCAAAACATTACATAGTTCTTGATACATCATATTTCACAATTTGATTCAAGTGGGTTATGAGCTCCCATTTTTACCCCATATACAGATTGCAGAATCACATCAGTTACACATCCATTGATTTACATATTGCCATACTAGTGTCTGTTGTATTCTGCTGCCTTTCCTATCCTCTACTATCACCCCTCCCCTCCCCTCCCCTCCCCTCCCCTCTTCTCTCTCTGCCCCCTCTACTGACATTCGTTTGTCCCCCTTGTATTATTTTTCCCCTTCCCCTCACTTCCTCTTGTATGTACTTTTGTATAACTCTGAGGGTCTCCTTCCGTTTCCATGCATTTTCCCTTCTCTCTCCCTTTCCCTCCCACCTCTCATCCCTGTTTAATGCTAATCTTCTTCTCATGCTCTTCGACCCTACTCTGTTCTTAGTTACTCTCCTTATATCAAAGAAGACATTTGGCATTTGTTTTTTAGGGATTGGCTAGCTTCACTTAGCATAATCTGCTCTAATGCCATCCATTTCCCTGTAAATTCTATGATTTTGTCATTTTTTAATGCAGAGTAATACTCCATTGTGTATAAATGCCACATTTTTTTTATCCATTCATCCATTGAAGGGCATCTAGGTTGGTTCCACAGTCTAGCTATTGTGAATTGTGCTGCTATGAACATCGATGTAGTAGTGTCCCTGTAGCATGCTCTTTTTAGGTCTTTAGGGAATAGACCGAGAAGGGGAATAGCTGAGTCAAATGGTGGCTCCATTCCCAGCTTTCCAAGAAATCTCCATACTGCTTTCCAAATTGGCTGCACCAATTTGCAGTCCCACCAGCAATGTACAAGTGTACCCTTTTCCCCACATCCTCGCCAGCACTTGTTGTTGTTTGACTTCATAATGGCTGCCAATCTAACTGGAGTGAGATGGTATCTTAGGGTGGTTTTGATTTGCATTTCTCTGACTGCTAGAGATGGTGAGCATTTTTTCATGTACTTGTTGATTGACTGTATGTCCTCCTCTGAGAAGTGTCTGTTCAGGTCCTTGGCCCATTTGTTGATTGGGTTGTTTGTTCTCTTATTGTCTAATTTTTTGAGCTCTTTGTATACTCTGGATATTAGGGCTCTATCTGAAGTGTGAGGAGTAAAGATTTGTTCCCAGGATGTAGGCTCTCTATTTACCTCTCTTATTGTATCTTTTGCTGAGAAAAAACTTTTTAGTTTGAGTAAGTCCCATTTGTTGATTCTAGTTATTAACTTTTGTGCTATGGGTGTCCTATTGAGGAATTTGGAGCCCGACCCCACAGTATGTAGATCGTAGCCAACTTTTTCTTCTATCAGACGGCGTGTCTCTGATTTGATATCAAGCTCCTTGATCCATTTTGAATTAACTTTTGTGCATGGCGAGAGAAAGGGATTCAGTTTCATTTTGTTGCATATGGATTTCCAGTTTTCCCAGCACCATTTGTTGAAGATGCTATCCTTCCTCCATTGCATGCTTTTAGACCCTTTATCAAATATAAGATAGTTGTAGTTTTGTGGATTGGTTTCTGTGTCCTCTATTCTGTACCATTGGTCCACCCGCCTGTTTTGGTACCAGTACCATGCTGTTTTTGTTACTATTGCTCTGTAATATAGTTTGAAGTCTGGTATCGCTATACCGCCTGATTCACACTTCCTGCTTAGCATTGTTTTTGCTATTCTGGGTCTTTTATTTTTCCATATGAATTTCATGATTGCTTTCTCTATTTCTACAAGAAATGCCGTTGGGATTTTGATTGGCATTGCATTAAACCTATAGAGAACTTTTGGTAATATCACCATTTTGATGATGTTAGTTCTGCCTATCCATGAACAGGGTATATTTTTCCATCTTCTAAGATCTTCTTCTATTTCTCTCTTTAGGGTTCTGTAGTTTTCATTGTATAAGTCTTTCACCTCTTTTGTTAGGTTGATTCCCAAGTATTTTATTTTTTTTGAAGATATTGTGAATGGAGTGGTTGTCCTCATTTCCATTTCAGAGGATTTGTCACTGATATACAGGAATGCCTTTGATTTATGCGTGTTGATTTTATATCCTGCCACTTTGCTGAATTCATTTATTAGCTCTAATAGTTTCTTTGTAGACCCTTTTGGGTCTGCTAGGTATAGAATCATGTCATCTGCAAATAGTGATAATTTAAGTTCTTCTTTTCCTATTTTGATGCCTTTAATTTCTTTCGTCTGTCTAATTGCTCTGGCCAGTGTTTCGAGAACTATGTTGAACAGAAGTGGTGAGAGAGGGCATCCCTGTCTTGTTCCAGATTTTAGAGGGAATGCCTTCGATTTTTCTCCATTCAGAATGATGCTAGCCAAAATCTGTAATTTTTAACTTATCAGATATATTTGCAGTTTGAATTCTGAAAACTGTAAAAATTACCTGACTGCTTCTCCAAGTTCTAGCACATCTATAAACTTGGGAGACCCCAAGATTCAATAAAAGCAAAATTTCTGTGTAGACTTCTCATCTTCTGTTAATTCATCCATTTTAGCAGATTCATTTATTACCTTTATATTAAACTCCCTAAAACTCTACTTTCAACCACCCAATCTTTAAGCTTTGGACTTCTTTATGTAAAGTGCCTACAGAAAGACATGTTTGCTTAATTCAGAAATCATCTGAAATTCAATCCACTGAAATCAATTAGAAAAATAAAACCCACAGAGGCTTACTAGGCTGGGAGGCTGGCTGTTCCTAAGGCTATATGGTAACAGAAAGACATTTTCCTGGAATCATGAACTCAGACTCTACAATTTTACTACTGTGTGACCACAAGCAAACTGAACGCCCCAGAAAAGGCATGGGAAGGAGTAATCATGACATGGACTAGCATCTAGTACACAGTCAATCAGCATGGGAACCTGCCCTTCTTTCTTAGTAGACAGCTATGCACTATCTCTGGCATTTCCTCCTCTCCATGACAACCATTTTTACCTCACATTTGTACTACTACTGTAGTTTCTCAATTATTTCCTCCTGAATTAGGTCCATTCACTCAAATAGGGCCTTACCATGTCTATCTTTAGACTCATTAAAAACAAAGGGTACAGTGACACATAAGATGCTGATTTTTATTTCTGAGGTTTTAGTTTAGTACAATCATCTACAATTACAACTCACTGACAATTCGAAGAATTCAGTCAACAAATATTTAATATAAGTACCTCCTTAAGTGTATGGTACTTCTAGCATGGGAATGTCATAATTTTCAAGATGAGTGCTCTTAAGACTCATTTTCAAGCACTATTTTGTTTCTTTTCCTTCAGTGAAAACCTACCATATGCCATGCACTATTCTAGACCCTAGAAATACTCAGCCTCTCATCAGCAGAGCTCACAGTTGAGCAGTAGAGGGAGGGAGGCAGACACAAAAGAGGAGGGGGGGGTGAGGGGGAGCAGTGTGGGAGTTACTGAAAAGTGGAGGCACTAGTAATGCTTAACTTTGCCTTAAGTGATCAAAGACACCAAGGCTAACTGATCTTACCAGGATAAAGAAAGAAACTTAATGGATGGAGAGAAAACCATTCAAGAAGAAGAAAGGAATATAGGAATAAAGAGCAAAGACATTTGCAAAGAATATACAACTCTCTACAACTATTTGAATTTTCCTAATTACAGAAAAATAATGCCCTTTTACGACTCTTTACAAATTTCCAACTCTTCCTCCTCCATCTTCACCACAAACTAAAATCTCATTTCCTATTTCACTGAGGAAACACAAACAGAAGAGATGTTTTACAAGTTCCCACTGCTTGCCTCTTCCTTCCTCTGCCTTCCTTTTTGATAACAGGAGTAATCTGTGCCTGCTCCTTGGCAAGCCAACCCCCCATCACTTATTCACTAGATCCTTCCCTTCTCTACACACTGTCCCAGTAATTCTCCCTGTTCTCCTGATTCCCTACAGCAAACAAAGGAACCATTATTTCTCCTACCTTAAAGAAAACATCCTCCCACTTTCCCTTTAGGTTCACCCATGGTCACCCCCCCCCCCCATTTCTCTGCTCACTATTACAGCAAAACTCTTTCACAGATTTTTCTGTCTCCAAACTCTTTCCTCTCATTCTCTCTTGGACCCACTCCTGCCAGCCTTCCACCCCAACCACACAGATGCAACTGCTCTTACAAAGATCACTACTACAGTCCCTATCTCCTTTGACCTATCAATCAATAGCATCTGGCACAGTTCATCATCCCTCCTTCCTGGTGCACTTTCTGACCTGCCTCCCCTGCCCGGTTGCTCTTCTATCCATAGATGGTTCTCATTCTCTGCTGTTCCTCTGCATCTGCCTGAGTGCCATATGATGGAGGGCCTCAGCATTCAGAATTTGGTCTCTTATTCTTTTCC